TTCAGAAAAGATAGCGACATCCACCTATGAGAAGAAACTCTACGCTCTTAGGTAAGCATTAGAGCACAAGAAGCATTACTTGCTTGGGAGGCACTTCAAAGTCTATTCAGACCACGAGACATTAAGGTGGTTGAAGACGCAGGCCAAGATGACACCTAAGCTTACTAGGTGGGCCGCTGAATTAGATCAATATGAATTTGAATTTAAGCCAGTCAAAGGGAAGTACAATGTAGTGGCGGACACTCTGAGCAGGAGACCTGATTACTTTGGGGCAATAGTTCACTAACTGGATATAGGGAGAGACCTGCAGCAAAAAGTTAGAAAGGCATATGCACAGGACCCTATCTATACTAATCTCCTCAAGAGAGTTAGGGAGGCCCCAGAGTCTGAACCAGACTACCACACTACTGATGGCTTATTATTCGAGAAGACTAATGTAGCTGACCGTCTGTGCGTTCCCAACAGTAAAGAGATCCGTAGTTTGATCTTAGGGGAACGCCATGACACAGAGGGACACTTCGGTTGGCAAACGACACTAGCCAACCTCATGCACGCGTACATCCGGCCTGGTATGAAGGCCAACTGCATAGAGTACGTCCGCAGTTGTAAAGTCTGTCAAAGGAATAAGACTACATGGCCCGGTATGAAGGTCGACTGCATAGAGTATGTACGCATGTGTAAACTCTGTCAGCGACAAAAGACTACTACGCGAACCCCTCTTGGTCTTCTCAGACCCTTGCCTATTCCTGATAGACCCGGAGATTCTGTGTCCATTGACTTTATGGATGCTGGAGTCAAGAGTAGGCATGGCAAAAGTCAAGTCATGGTCATAGTAGATAGATTTAGCAAGTATGCAGTTTTTGTTCCTATGCCTGCAGAGGCACGCACAGACATAGTAGTTCGGAAGCTTATCGACCATTGGGTCAGTGAGCACGGTATACTGCTGTCGATAGTTAGTGACAAGGATACCAGATTCACCAGTCAGAACTGGCAGGAGCTAATGAGAGTCTATGGTTCCAAGTTGTTGATGTCATCTGGCTGTCATCCTGAGACTAACGTTCAGATTGAACAGATGAACAAGCTCCTGCAGCAAGTTCTTAGGATGTACATTAGGCCTGATCAGATCAACAGGGATGAGATGCTCCAAAAGGTAGCCAATGCATACAATAACAACGTGCACTTATCTACATATCGCACTCCCAACGAATTGCACAAGTCCTTTAGACCACGCAGACCATTTGAAGGACTTAACCGAAATCAGATTCAGAGACTACCGCCCGTTACACGAGAGTTTGCAATACAGCACGAGAAAGAGACAGCTACCGTTGTAGATAACCTCACGAAAGCCCAACACATAATGATAGAGCAAGCTAATAAGCATCGTCGCCCCTCACAGTTCCAAGTAGGCGACTTAGTCTGGGTCAAGTCAAAAGAGTTCGCTCTTGAGGAGAACATCTCACAAAAGTTGTTGCCTGTGTATAGAGGACCGTTGCCAGTCTTAGAAGTTAAGGGCGGAGAGGATGGACCGTCCTATACTATTGAGATTCCAGCACACCTCCACACCTACCCAGTATTCCATGTGTCAAAGCTGTTGCATTGCGTCACAAGCCAACAGTTTCCATCACGCAGATCTATGATTCCTCCAGATATGGATGGAAGATATGACATTGATGGTATAGTGGGTGAGGACGTCTTCAGGACAGGAGGTGGAGGTCGTCCACAAAAGCAGTACAAAGTCAGATTTTCCTTTCAAGAGCCAGAAGACAACCGCTGGTTCACACGGACAGAACTTCTAGAGACAGCTCCCGACATAGTCCGAGCTTAAGAAAGAGACAAGAAGGGTAAAGGTCCCGCCTTAGACTGAAGTATTCTCGGAGCACCTCGAATTTAGGCCGGTGGGAGTGAAACGGTTTTCACCTATCTGCAGTTCCAGATGCGGGCAGTAGAGTTCGATCCCCAGACCCTACCTTGCCCATGGACAGTATCGAGTTGACCCCCGAGTGTTTGAACCCGCGACCTGTATTTTGGTAGTTGTTTGATGTCTGTCGTAGGTTTGTGTAGTTGTAGGGGTTCGATCTGTAGACCTGTCGAGTAGGGGTCACAGCTCTGTAGAGGTCGTAGCTGTAGGTGTCCTGAAAGGTCAAGGTCGTAGCTGCTACAGTCCTGAAAGGTCAAGGTCGTAGCTGCTACAGTATTCGAAAGGCCAAGTCCGCAGTCCGGAAGTGGCCTTTCGAAAGTGTCTCACGTTTAGTCTGAGGCAAGTGGGCAAGTGGTGAGCCCAATGGCACTGAGTCGGCAGTGTGGCTGCATTGAGTTGGCAGTGCCACCCCGTGCAGTCAGCGGTACCAGTCCCAGTCAATCGCAGTCCAGTCAAGCAAGTACCGTGTGGGACTGTGTGCACCAAGGGCCTGGTGGAAAGGGGCAGACCAACGAGTTACAGAAGTATAAATCAAGAGGCAGCGTCCAGCATTCATTCATTCGCTGCGTAAGCCATGCGGAACCGCTGCCACAGCGTCTTGTGCGACGGTGGTCTGCAGGTTGCCCGAAGACGAAGTGGGCTGAAGAGTGAGATCTTAGCCATAGTCAGTAGAAGTAGAGCGGCCATAGCCGTGATAGGAGCAAGATAGGCAGAGTGTGTGTGCGTGGGAGTATTCAGGGTGATCCAGAGTGGAGTATGTGCGAACAGTGGTACCGAACACAGTGACGAGAGTTGGTGTGCAGGCGCCGCTGCGCCATAGCCTGTTGAAGTGAATTTGCATCTGAACTGTGTTCTCGTTTTCCATATCTCTGAGCTTTGAGTGGGCGCTCTGCGCCAGTGTGAATCGCCATCGCTTTGCATGTATGCGAAGTGGAAAAGAAAGCGAGTCTGATTGCAATTGTCTACTTCTGCATACGAAGCTCTCTCTCTCTCTCTCTCTCTCTCTCTCTCTCTCTCTCTCTCTCTCTCTCTCTCTCTCTCTCTCTCTCTCTCTCACACACACGCACACGCACACACACACACACACACACACATACACACACACACACACACACACACACTGGCTGCATATGGCATAGCACCGCTCATGTTGGTTGTCCGTCGCAGCTATGTGGTGGTTTTACAGATGTCTAACAGGAATTATGGCAATCAAAATTTCATTCACAAGGACAGAATCACAACTCAGCTGCTCCTCTTCAGATCTTCAGTCAATGTTGCTGCAGTTGACGGTCAAAGAGTGCTAATAAAAAAATCGAACTTGGCCTCCTACCCGCCTTTTCACAGACGTCCTCTTCCTGACCTCCTCCCGTTTGCAAGGGTCCTGTATGACCACGTCTTGCTAGAGTGTATCACAATGCATGCAACGTCATCATTCACACAGATTATGACTCAACACACAACGCAGAATGGGGATGAGATGAGAACCAAGTTGCGCAGCTTATATTATCTCAAACACATTATAATGAGTCTCTCGAGTTCATGAATCCAAGCGCTCAACAATCATGATATGTCCCTTTCTCGAACATCAACTCAATGGGGCCTGGCTGAGCCAGCGCCACTTCTCAGCAACTCGTCAAGCGCAGAACAGGTAAGTAGTCACCATAGCCAACCCGACAACCTCTCTTCCCTCTCTCTCTCTTTCCTCAAGATCTCAGTCTCGGTCCTCTTCTCTCATCATGCATGCTCACTCCTACTTCGAGAATCTACTCTGAACGCTACTCACTGTAGACTAAGTTCTATCCCACTAACTACACTAACTAGTAGGGCTGCTATGGCTGCCACTTGCAAGCCAGCGCCCAGCTCGCTTCCTTCTCTTAGCGCAGCTTCTCCTCCAGCGCTAACCCAGCTAGCCAGCGCACAAGTGCACACAGCACTTCCACGCCGATATGCCAGTGGGAATCTGATGTCAAGGGAGGCTGGCCTATTGCTTTATACTGCTGGCCTCCCCTGGCGAGGTCTGCATTGGTCTGTATTGGCACTTTGGGCCTCCCTCAGTCCCAGACCCATGCATATGTGTGTCCCAGTATTTTCCCCTCAGGGTTTGCTGCTGCTGCGGCCATTTGGCCTGGATTTCGGACTGGGTGTCTGAATCTAGACCCCCTATTAGACTTAGACAGAACTGGGAACCTGCCCTTTGACTTCCTTTTGGACAGACACACATTCTGCACGAACAGACACTCATACTGCACGAACAGACACACATACTGCACATACAGACACATCCCTTGTCTTGAACAGACATGACCTGCACAACCCCTGGACGAACAGATGAGACTCCCAAATCCAAATATTGCAGCTGTTCGTACAGGGCACAACTGTGACCTTTGACATTGGCTGTTACTTAGCTAGGATGTGACTTTTGACCCAGAGAACATGTCCTTTGATCTGCTTTCACGAGTTGGGCCCTGGCGAGGGACCCCTCTATGCTGCATTTGCCGAACAGGGTCTGAATTGGGTAAAGGCCCTTTTACGTTCATCTCTCACACTTATTCACATTCTTGTTCCCTTCCTGCACCCCCAACCGACCCCGCTCCCCGTGCACTTTGTATCATTACATTCCCCATGCACTTTGCTTCATTACATTCCTCTTTCTCCCCATCACTTCAGACAACATATACAATGCAGACTAAGCGGTGAAAAGTGGCCAGCCACACAAAGATAATTCAAAAAAAGGGGAAAAAGAGGAGCCTTTCCCTTTCATTGCATCTCTTCTTCTACCTCCCTCTCATCCTCTTTTCACTCTCTTCCTCATCCATCACATATCAACATTCTCTTCCTGCTTATCCTTCTCACTGTCCTCACCTTCGCCCCATGACCATCTCCTTTTCCCCCCTCCTCCTCCCCTTCCAACTGCCGCATTGCCTCTCGTACAACAACCATACATTCCAGTTGTTCTGTGGCGCTCTTGCAGAGTAGGGAGCATGCAAATGAGGGAGAGAGCCCAAGCAGAGGATCAGGGGGGGGGGGGGTTGGTCAAGCACAGTGCAGATTAAAGAAGGCTGATGGGTGGATGAGGCCATACCCTGCCGCCGACTTTTTGCCCCCTCGCAAGTGGAATGTCGAAATATGGCGGTGTCACATAATTATCATGTGGACTGTGAAAACACCGTTTGCCAATACAGTGGAGCTCCGTGTGATCCGCATGATGATGATGGTCCATATCTTCACTGAGTGAGAACACCTTGTGCGAATCAAATGGAGCTCTGTGTGAAAACACCGTTTGTCAATAATAACCCGTTGCAAATCTCACACCAAGAAGAAGAAGAAGAAAAAGAGAATTTCCCACCCAATTCAAGCTGGATGGCGATGGCTGAACCGACAGTCGATCATGAAGCATGTTGGTTTACTTCCCATGTTCTCTGTCCTCGTCAAAGTCTCCAGAGTCCAGAGTCATTCAAATAAAAGAGGCGAGCACTGCGCGCCCATCCTCTCTCACATATTTGTACACACAGTTAAGTGAACAGAACATCCTGGATTATCCTTTGTTTTTTTTTTTTCAATTCTTTCGCAAGATTTTCGCAAAAAAATTGCAGCAGACGCAGACTGCCAAACTGGGCTTCTTCGAAACCAATTCCATCTGTTACCCGATCGGAAGTTGAAATCTCCACCAATACGAAGCTGAGATCTAGGCCGATCCGAAGTGGATATCTACGCCAACCTCAATAGGACATGTTGTTGTTTGTCTCCATGAGAATAGTTCATCCACGAAAACTGCTGCCTGCATTTCCACTTCCAAAAATCGATCATAAGATTCACAACTAATCCTGCCAGCCAGCCGTGTATCCTTGAAAACAATCATCACTGTGAGACAACGATCCCGACCGCCATACTCCAACCACAAGTACACTCCACTGACGAACTAATCTCTGACATCTGACTTCGGACATGCTAAAGAAGATCACACAGTTAATACTGCCAGCCCAGGACCCTTCAATTTCCAGGGAGAGGCCAGTTCCCTAAAAAAACGCGAGCGGATTAGAGAACTACAGTTTCAATCTTTTGAAACCGACACATTGCTCCCTCGTATCCAGCTCCCAAGTACACTTAGTATACTTTTCAAAGTTCAATGTGGAGCAAACCACCTCTCCCACCCACAAAAAAAAACAAATCTACTTCACAAGCAGACTGGCTCGTCATCATTGTACCCATCAGAGTTCATCCAATTCCTTTCTGATAGACATCCTTCCTATAACACAAATAGGATAATGCTGCTGTTAATGGACAAATAAGCTGAGTGAGGGCGCCGCCCCGCCGTCCGGGCCCGGGGGGGCGGCCCAGGCAAACCGGGCGGGCAAAAAAAACGCCCAGAATTTTTTTTATTTTTTTTTTGGAAAACGGGGTCGTTCTGCGCTGGGCGAGAGGACCCCGAATCTGCAATAAAATTTTGGTTCTGKGGGGKGGGKGGGGGGGTTGGTCTGGGTGGGGGGTGCTGGGGTTGGGGGCCCTGCATGTATGTTGCCTACTGGGTTGGGTGCTCTGCATGTTAGCTCTGATGTCTGCTGCATGCATGCTATGAACTTATCGAAGGGATGGATGGATGGGAGGATGGAGAAAGGGAGGGAGGGAGTAGGGAAGGAAGAAGAGGAGAGAAGAAGACCTAACGAATGGAAAAGAAGAAGAAGAAGAAGAAGAAGAAGAAGAAGAAGAAGAAGTGGAAGAAAAGAAGAAGAAGAACTTCAAGAAGAAGAAGAAGAAGAAAAAAAAAAGGGGGAAGAAGGAGGGGGAGAAGGACGGCCTTTTTTTTTTTTTTTTTTTAACCTGTCGTGTATCACGTGACCTACCGAATGTCGACGAACTGAAAGAAGAAGAAGAAGAAGAAGAAGGAGAAGAAGAAGGAGAAGAAGAAGAAGAAGAAGAAGAAGATGAGGAGGAGAAAGGAAACGAGAAGAAGAAGAAGAAGAAGAAGAAGAAGAAGAAGAAGAAGAAGAAGAAGAAGATGGGGAAGAAGATGGGGAAGGAATACGGCTGCGGTAGGGTATGGCAGCAGGGTGTGGCGGCAGGGTATGGCGGCGGTAGGGTATAGCGGCGGTAACGTATGGCAGCACTGGTATGTCCGTAGGGTATGGCGGCGGTAGGGTAAGGCGGCGGCGGGGTGAAGAAAGGCAGGGAAGAAGAAGAAGAGGAGAGAAGAAGACCTAGCGAATGGAGAAGAAGAAGAAGAAGAAGAAGAAGAAGAGAGGTGAGGAGGGGAAGAAGAAGACGATCAAGAAAGGTCGGGGAGAAAGATGAAAACGCGAGGGGGAGGAGGGTAAGAAGAAGAAGACGAGAGGACGACGAGAAGAGGAGGAGAAGAAGAAGATAAGCGGAGAAGGAGGGGGAGAAGGACAGCCTTTTTTTTTTTTTTTTTTTTCACCTCTCGTGTCTCACGGGACCGGCCGAATGTCGACGAACTGAAAGAAGAAGAAGAAGAAGAAGGAGAAGAAGAAGAAGAAGAAGAAGAAGAAGAAGAAGAGGAGGAGAAAGAAAACGACTGGGGGACGAGGGGAAGACGAAGAAGACGAGAGGAGGACTGCACAGAAAATAAGTTGAAATAGACAAACAAACAAACAAGTTCAGCAGCCTCACAAGTTACAGAACAAACATGAAAATGTCTGTATAGAGATGACTCACTCACAATCCACTGTCCATCTCCGCAACACTTGTCGTCTTTGTGCCTCTTATGAATGGCAATTGCACAATTTTGAGGGATCTAAAACAACATGCATTGTCCAGGCAGCAATCGCCACTGACCTACAGGGTGACAACTCCAGCTGCATGGTTGTGCTGTGTACAAATGGGGCGGCAATTGATGTGAACCTAAGACGACCCCATCCGCATCGACGTTATCGATCCTACTCGTCTCAAAACATGTGCTCCTCTGCACATGCAACTCAAACAACCGTACAATAATACATAACATAGGAGAACCACCCCCCCTTCTTTCATCCTTCACCTGTTCTCCTTTTTGCTTCTCTTCAGGCAATACCGCATCTGTTAACTCATCGGTCAGCGAGCTAGCCAGGCAACATGTCTACCCATATAGGCAGCAGCATGCAGATACATACACAGACACAGACACATGCACACAGACTGTGTAGACGTTCTCTCTCGACCCAACCATTCTTTTCAATTCAAGCAGCTGTCCCCCCCCCTCCCCCTTCCACATTGAGAACCGAAACGTTTTTGAAGGCAATCTCATCCACTTTATCCACAGAATCTTATCCACTTTTTTTATCCAGACATTATCAACAACAAAGGCGATCTCACACGTATTGCCTACGTAGCTGGAAGAAGAGTTGAGCCGCACAGCACTCCAGAGGTCCTTCATTCCTCACCAGTTGTTCACAAGAGATGTAGTCTGCAAGCAGAAACCTCAACATCATCAACCAATATAGTACCAAATGCTTCAGCACACTCTTGAAAGCAGTTGACTTTATGCTTGTGTTCCGCTTCGTCAACTTCTTGTTGACGCCACCCCCATTTCACCGAGCACATGGAGAAAGCAACCTGTCAGATGATCAATGTGGTCATTTTTGATCAGCTGTGAAAATGCAGTACACTCCCAGCTCACGTCATATGCTCACAAGTCTGCTCCGTTCAACAGCATTCCTCTAGACCCTAGACCATCGGCAAGCTGTGGACTAAAGGAGTATGTATAATTGGCCAGATGTCATTAATCGAGTCACTTTCTTCAGCCTTGACGATGAGGTGTGTTCCCAGCTCTTGCATATGCTCACTAGTTCGCTCAGGTCATCGCAGCACGCTTCTCAACCTCAGAGTGTGGCCCGGCTGTGAGCTAAAAGAGTGAGTTCGCTTAAGCTCAAGGATTTGCACACTGCCATGCGGACAAACAGCCAGGCATACACCTGGCATCCTGTCAGAATGCTGCTGATCAACAGAACAACAATAACAAGAGAGATTGCAAAGTTTCTTTCATCTTCCGCTCTCTCTCTCTCTCTCTCTCTCTCTCTCTCTCTCTCTCTCTCTCTCTCTCTCTCTCTCTCTCTCTCTCTCTCTCTCTTGCAATGACTTGCTGTTTTCCGGTCGCCTGTAGCCTCTCTCTGTCGAGGCTGCCGGCTAACCGAGAGGACAGATTCACAATTTTGTTTGGCTGCGGGCTAACCGAGAGACCTACCTGTGAGGGAAATTCGTGAGGGACATATCTGCAAATTCGGGAAAATACAGGCCCGGTACTAACCGGATTCCCTACAGCTACCCTAACTGCGGACAGCAGGCCCGGGCTACCCCTAGGACAGACAGGCCCTAAAGGCCTATTCTGAATAGACGGTCCTATAGCCTATAGCCGGGTCCGGTAGAGGCCGAGAGGCCGAAACAGAAACGGTACCGGTCAGTCAGTCAGTCCGGTCTAGGTCGAGTCTAGGCTAGTTAGAGTCTATAGATAGATTGGGCCCATCGGTTCCGGGCTTTTGGCTGTTGGTGCCATGTACATCGCTGCTGCACAACGCATGAACCGGAAGTGGTGACGGCTCAGCGTGGAAGGAGACAGGCATAGCCGGACCTGCGCTGTACTCTGCCAGCACGTAGGGGCTGACAGAGGTCTGGGTTATTGAGGTCTGCTGAAGGCGAGAGAGATTGGTGCCCTGCTGAACCGCCCTCCGGAGTGGGCTCCCAGGGGGTTTGCGCTGCAGCCATAGCTGCAGCTTCTTCTTCTCAGAGGTCATCTTGTCAGGGTTTGGTGGCGCTGCTGCAGACTTCCACCCGGGAAGTCTTCCGACACTTCGTCATCATCAGATACTGTGGCGCTGATCTTCTTCTTCATCCTCTGAGTGGCGCTTGGCCTCAAAGGCCTGTTTCAGGGTGGCGCTGCCCTCAGGAGGCTGTGTCTGGGTGGCGCTTGATGTTTCAGGGACTCAGGGGGTATTTACGGGTGCTAATCAGGGTTGGGGAGTGAAGCGCTGCTCATTTCTGAGCAGCGCACTGTAGTACTGAAGTTATCCTGACAATTCGAGACTCTGAGTTTAATAAACAGTGTGATACTGTGTTTGGACTATCATCGTTTCATTGTTTCCTGGATGTGATCTTCTCGGCTTTTCTCTATGACTGGTTGTGAGGATTGAGTGGAGTGAATTGCACTTTCAGTGTACCCTATCATATTGAAATCACACTACGATTATTCAACTTGTCATGTATGCAAACAGCGAAACAGCAAATTGGCGACAGGCGCCCACTCAGTACTCAAGATATCGTATCCACATAAGAGTTCTCTTCAAACTGGCTATGGCGACTGAGCGCCCACACAACTCACTGTTCGCACTCTGGATCACCCTGGATGTCCCACACGCAACACTCAGTATCAC